GTCAGAATTATATGCTATTCTCAAGATATTATAAGATTTTTCCAGAGCCTCTTAATATAGTTACTGTACTGGTTGGTTTTGTACGTCAACTTGATACAAGTTAGAGTCATCAGAGAAGAAGGAGCCTCGCTGAGGAAATGCCTTGATGAGAACCAGTTGTAAGGTGTTTTCTTATTTAGTGATCATTGACGGATATCAGAACCCATACGGGTCAATCAGGCCCTCTAGTACAAGGTGTTGTAATTTGAGAAAAGTGGTGCATGTGACAGGGTTTGAGCAGAGGGTTTTTTTTTTAATTAGGGGAAAGGAAAGGGGGAGATTGGCCTCTAGAGACAGCAGCATCAGGAGAGAGGAAAAAGGAAAGAGGGGGAGAGAGAGGGGACAGAGGGGAAGAGAGGGAGAAAGAGGAACAGAGAGACAGACAGAGAGAGAGAGAGAGAGAGAGAGAGAGAGAGAGAGGATGATGGGAGGTGGGCAGGCCTTTTTCAAAGGGAACATAGTGAATGTGCACAGGAGGTGGTGCTCTTAGTGGCTGCAGATGAGGGTGTGTCCTGTCAGAATCCCAAGGACAGGCCAGGACAGATGCCTGAATACTAAGTCAAGTTAAGTATGAAGTTGATCAGCTATTGATAAGGAAATGTGTTAGAAACCTCAGAAATTCATAAGAAACACCATGTTAACAATAAAGGTTTGAAGAAAAAAAATTATCACTTGGCAATAAGCCAAAGGAATAATAAGGAAATGCCCTACTCGTTCTTTGTATAAACAAACCCTATTACCTGCAGGGAGTAACCCAAAAGGTACTCAAAGAAATGAATCTGGCAAATGGATGGGTTTTATTTTGTGGGCTTTGGAAAATTAAAGTATGTGCACCATACCATAGATACCTATTCAGGATCTCAATGGGCAAATTCTTTGAGTTCTGAAAAGGCTGATTCCGTAATTACACATTTATTAGAAGTTATGGCCATTGTGGGAATGCCTGCACAAATTAAGACTGACAATGCTCCAGCTCTAGAAAATGAAACAATTTCTTTTTGCACCTTACAACAGGTAGTTATAGAAAGATCTAATTGCACTTTAAAAGATATGGTTATCTTTTAAACCCCCAAAAGATGAATTACACAATGCTTTACTAACTTTAAACGTTTAGATGCTAATGAGAAAGGAATGGCAGCTGTAGATAGACAGCAGTGGAGAAAACACTGCTGAAAATAAATAATCCTGTATACTTTAGGGATGTGTTGACCTCAGAATGGAAACCAGGATATGTGTTACATAAGGGAAGAAGTTTTGCTTTTGCTTCGACAGCAGAAGAAAAGCTATGGAGACCACCAAGACTGATAACGATTAGATTCAAACAGGAAAGACCTCTTGGTTAGGAGAGGTGATAGCTCCTCAGACAGCATGGCCATTCAATCTGAACTAACAAATGCCTTTTATTTGATCAGATATAACCTGCTAAGAAGGGAAACTCCCCAAAGTTCGGGTTGGGGCAGGGTTCCATTTTTGTCTTTCCAGGAGAATGAAGGCATCCAGCTAAGGAATCTGAAGACCACTGGACAAATGAGACATTTAAAGAAGAAGGACAAACCATCCAGAGAAAATTTCCCAAGGAAAAGAGTAATTGGCCTAATGGTATAAAATACTCCTAACAGGATAAAATTTCATAAATCTTCACAAATATTGGTTACTTCTGTTTTCTACACACATATGATACAAATGGTCTTTCTTTTTGTAGTTCCAATTAAATTAAAATGCTTTGGAGTTGGAGCATGACTTTCTCCTTCTCTAAATTCAAGTATGCTTGTTAAATGAAATCCAAACTCCCTGCCTCATGGCAGAAGAACTGCCTTGTATGGGACAGAAGAAAGACCAAAATTAAGGGACTATTATATTGCCACTAATCTCATGATCCTTTGATTTCATTTTGGCTCCTTAAAGCTTTCTTAAGTATAAATATCTCAAACTTTATAAGATTAGCCTGTATATATTTAAACTTCCCATCATGATATTTATGGTCATATAGATCACTGAATAGTTCTAGATATAGGCTTCATCTAGATTCCAGTAGATGATTTCAGACTTAAGTCTGAAACAGGTAACTAGGAATTAAGTTTGTGTACCCTGGATGTACTTAACAAACTGTGATCCTTTACCCTCTCTGAGATCTGCTGCATATGACATTTAAATTTTTAGTTTTTTTGTAGTGAACTATGACCATTACAAACAGTAACCTTTGAAATCTCCAAAAGCATCATGGGGTCCCACAATGACAATTACATCGGTATTGTGATAATGCCTCTAAACTGACAAACACCACCCAAAGATCATCTTTGGATTACAAACTGCTCAGGGCAATTTCAAGGTGGTTAGTTAAGATGGTTCAGGCTCATAGACTACTCTATCCAGGGCTTCAAAAAATTCTGCACTTACCGGGCATTGGTGGAACACGCCTTTAATCTCAGCACTTTGGAGGCAGAGGCAGGCGGATCTTTGTGAGTTCGAGGCCAGCCTGGTCTACAAAGTGAGTTCCAGGACAGCCTCCAAAACAATACAGAGAAACCCTGTCTCGAAAAACCAAAAAAAAAAAATTGCACTTTTCTGTCACACCAAGTTTGGACAACAGCTAGCTCTCCCAGGACTTGGCCATCATCTCAATTTTCTCAGTGTCCCCTCCTAAGGATGCCATCACCCCCAGACAACAGATAACATGATGCCCAAAATTCCAGAAAGATGGGGTGGGTGGTTTTTGCTCATTCAGTGGATTCTGGATGATTGTCATTGTTACAGGGGCTGGTCTTAAGTTGTTACTTGTTATGGTCAAGAAAAAACTAAACAAAGGACATTTAGAATGATAGGAAAAACGGTAGATCACTGAATCTACTTTTAAACTGAAAAACAACTAGTCTTAAGTATTTTATATTGATATGGATTTTTGATAGTAATAACAGACTTAAGGTTATTTTTATTATACTGTATGTATTTTTCTACTCTTGTTCAGGTATTTTTGTATATTGATACAAATTTAATGTTGTTTTTATTATACTGTATATATGCTGATATTCGTATTTAAGGTATTGTACCTATGCAGCTCATTTGAAAATTTAATGTAAAGTTCTAGTTCTTGAAACTTGTTTAGGATAATAAAGAAATACAGGTTATAGTTAGTCATCTATAGCAATCAAACTTATGTTAGGTATATTTTCAAGGTCAAACAGATAGATATATCTTAAGTAGATAGATGATGTTCAAACACTTCCATTTACATTTGGAAAATTCAGAGAAAATACTCTGTTATCTATCCTGCAGAACTAGGCATTTAAAATGTTTTAATAACATAAAGCTTTTGTGACAATGAGACATGTCTGCTCCCGGCAGCACCAATTCACTTGATAAAAGAATGGTGGGCATCAAAGAACCTCCATATGGAATTTGCTTTCAGTGTGGCAAAGCTATCCATTTGGACAAGAAACTGCCCTTTCCTTGACTGCTGACAGTATGCTGTCCAAATCGGACAGGCAGGACACAAACAAAGTTGACTGCCAAATTTTGCCAGGACAAGGTAGGGCTGTCCTTCAAAATAGTCTGTCGGATATTCTAGGTTAGCAATCTGAAGATGGATGCTCCCTCACTGCAGAAGAACCTTGGATGATTGTTTACTAAGGTAATATATTCTTCTCAGATCTCTGATGAGGTCGAAGATTAGATAGTTATAGTCTTTCTTGTTACAAAATTCAAAAAAGAAACTCACAAGAAAAGATATAAGGTGTACAAGGTTAAGAGATATAAAAGTTTAAATTGCTTATCTAAGAAAATGTTTTGAGGTCTAAAAAGATAGTTTCGGGTTGGTAACACAAGTCAGGATAGAAAGTGAAATAGTTACAAAACTTTGAACTCACCAAGATAGGATAGATAACGGAGTATTTTCTCTGAATTTTCCAAATGTAAATGGACTGTACACTGTGAATGCAATTCTTATTCAATAAATTGTTCTTACTGTATATAGTTTTACTGTGTTAGAGTAGCCTCTCCTTTTTATTTAAACAAAAAAAAAGAGGAAATGTTGTGGAATACTTTGATCACACTCTGACACTCCCAAGACTAACAGCAAAGTTAGCCTTGAAGGTTAGAGCTAGCTACTAGCTGTCTAAAATTAGCCATAGAGGTTTTGGAGGACTCAGGACACAGGAAGTAGTAGGGAAACGGCTTAGAAAGATGCTGGCCCCTTTTGGATGGAGGAAGGAGAGAGAGAGCGGAAGTGATTGGATGCTTCTCTCCACTTCTCTAAACAATCAGGGTTTTACCCCATATCTGACTCCTGAGCTTTCATTGATAAAAGAATAGTTGAGCACTTCAATAAACATCTTGACCAGATTTTTAATCCTATTCTGCATGCATATTTATCTCTTTTTAGAGCAAGTGGGGGACAGAAGGAGGCAGGAAGGGAGGAAGGAGGCAGGGAAGAGAGAGACGGAGACAGACAGACAGAGAGAAAGGCGATGAGGTGCCTAGCCTCCTCCTTCATAAACAACCCAGATAACATCTGTCACCGTGGTGTGGTAAGTTGCCCTTTACCCACACACTGTCACAAACTAGTGTCTGCCCCATCCCATGCTCCCCTGGCCCCCACAGTCTGAGTGGCTCCCTTGGTGACACCACAGATAAACATCCTTGCTATTCCTATACAAAATGACATTTAAAACAAACAAGGGGGAATACTTACTCTGGGACATATTTTGATCATTCAGCTTCATCTTTATGTGCTAGCGGCTAACGTCTATTTAAAATTAGCCTCGGTTGTTAATTTTTAAACTCCCAAAGTTGGCTATGAGCACCTTACACACTGTAGACACTGTGTGAGGCCCAAGGGGTGAGGCTATGAGGTGATTCCTGTCCTAAGGGAGGGCTAGGGGAGATAAGTAAGCATCAGGCGAGAAATCTACCAATAGACGCGGGACGCTAAGGATCTGGAGAAAGGGGAATGATCTGGGCCTTACCACGGAGAGTGGGAGCTGAGCTTCTGGCGGTTGTTAGCTGATTAAAGAGGCAGGGCGCCGGGAGCGAGGGCAATCCGTGCAGAAGGAGCAGCTTGTGCAGGGGCGCCGAGGTTCAGAACGTGACCTGCCGCAGCTGTAATCAGGGAAAAAAGTGGGCAGCCCTGCCAGGCAAGACTGGAGGCGCAGAGGACGTCGTAGCTGTGGCACGACACGGGGTCATTTTACCAGTGGCTTCCTGAGACACCCCCACACGCTAGAATGCAATGTCATCAATACAGCCCACCTCACAATGCTGGCTGGTACAGAAACGATGCCACCTTCAGCTCCAGGGATGGGTCCCAGTAGATGAAAGTCAGTGCTTTCAGACCCCAGGTTTAAACATTACATAAGAGCAATTGCTCATAAGCCAAGGAAGGAATGTGGTCTACTCTGGACCTTAAAGTGATGGGTGATCCACGGCATGAGAGAAAAGCCTTCTCGTTTCCTGTTGGGGAAGTCTTATGTCAATAAAGCACTGCTGGCCAATAGGAATCTAGATAGGTGGGACTAGGAGTCCAGGAGAACTCTGGGAAGGAGAAACACAGGAGAGTCGAGATGTAACGCCATGGGGTAGGAAGCCCGGAAACCTCTCCGGTAAGAGACATACTTAGATTAACAATCATGGGGTAATTACTTAAGTCAGAGCTAGCCAGTAAGAAACAAGCAAGGCCAACAGCTTCATAACTAATATAGCCTCCTGTGTGTTTATTTGGGACTGATGTGGCTCTAGAACCAGGCTGGCGGGAAGGCTTCTCTCAAAGAAAAAGCTTCTCTTTACAGTCCCTCTAGGGCTATGCTGGGAAGCCCACTAACTGAGTTACTGCTATTAGCCATGGGGCTAAGTCAACTGGGTGAACAGCAAAGAGGAGGAGTAGAAGAAGCTTGGCCCTTGGTGACACTATACTGTTGTCACTAGATTAAGCAACCCTGAAGCCAGAGTTACCTCTGCACCTCTTATACTGGGGGACAGCAAATTTCCCTGTACCTGCTTCCAACAGCAACACACTGGGTACGTACGGCTCAGCGCGTGGGTAAGGGTTCTCGTTGCCTCATCTTGAGCGGACAATGTTCTGGATTTTGGGAGGAGGCTGGATAGCTGTTGGCTTTCCAGCTGACCTGTGCAGATCTTGTCCACTGGACCCGGGATCTGAGGACCTGGAGGAACCAGAGGACTACAGTCTAACGCTGCTGGCAACCCGACATCACTTTCAGTGTACTTTTCGTCACGAACGAAACACGGAAGGCAATGGCCCAAGGGAAGGTTGTCTGAGTTCAGAAAAGCATGCTCAGAAAAACACGTAAATAAACGTCAGTGAGCTCATGCTGAATATCAACGGCAGCCCTCTCCCAGAGCTTTCTCAGGACAGACATTTAAACACAGTTGCCTGACAGGGTCTGTGGGTTAGATCCAACTCAGGAAAGAAAGGCGGAAGGCCATGTTCAGACTCAGGGCACACTGGCTAGATCCGGTTCTATAGCTGTGCTCGGACACACAACAAGAATAAACATGTTTTATAAGTTGAATACAAATGTTTGTCGCCGGGAGGCTTAGCACATCCAAGACCAATCCAGGGCAGGAATGCACCTGAGGTAAAAGGCACGAATGCCTCTTTTCCTTGGAAATTCTCACAGTTGCACAAGGCATTGCTCACCAGGCGTCATTCTTTTGACCATGTTCTGACAGACAACTTGTTGACCAGGATCTGGATATGCCTCACCCCACCCAAATAGTACAAAACTACAAAGTGAGAAATACAGGAAAATAAATGTGCTATATAAATTTCAAATGTCATGTACAACACACACAGACACACACACACACACACACACACACACATACACACACACGACTCCATGGAATTATTTCTCTGAGGAGTGAGACTGTCACAGGGCTTCTCAGGTCTGCCTTGCTTGGCGTGGTCTGGTCCCTTCTGCTGGTCACCGCCACTTGGGTTTCCTGCAGAGGGTATTCTTTGCCTCTATAATTAGACATCAAAGGCAATAACTGTTTTCCATGTAAATTAATTCTACCCATCACAAAAGAAGGCACATTTACTTTTAAAAATGCATAAGGACCAAAATAAAGCTAACCAGAAGCCTCTCTAACACTGTCTGTTAACCAAGGAGAAATATTTCAGGTCTTCGTGTACTGCATCCGGACAACTGAAGATGTATCGTTGGTCACAGAATAGAATAAAATATCTTGAGACCATGAATTTATCCAATTTGTATTTTAAACCCTCGCTTTATAAAACAGTTGCTCTTCTTCATTTTAAAGTTCCATTATATAAAATAGACATGCTGGCAAATTTTGAAACCCTCAGGAGACATCATTTAGCATCTTCGGAAAACATAATATTTAATTATCATAGCATGAGGTTCTCTTAATGGCACATTTCAACATTGCTATTGAGAGTTGATTTCTGAGAGGCAAATTAAGTGGTATTTCTACTGGCACGCCTTATTTAAGTACAAGCTACGTGCATAATTATGCCTGGTACCATTGCCACTTGAAAATAAAACACATGACAATGCACCGATACCCATGGACATTTCCCCTCTCAGTACGTACCATCAACAGAAAGTACCACAAGTACCACTGCACGGCGACGTGCCTCCAGAGCCTTTGGAGCCCTGACTGCTAGCTAACGTCGACTGTGGATCTGACCTGCAGTTGGCCTTCCTGTTACCATAGCCATTTCAGATAAGGTGTCCTACAGGAAGGAAGATAACGTCGTTTAACTCTTACTATCTCTAAGTGTGACACGTGCCTTTTTCTTCAGTTTCTACTTAGTTGCGCACTTCCTTTTGCCTCTGATATCTACAAGTGTATAAAAGTATCACTAGCAAGCATCGTAAACAAGATAGGAGAGGTAGTGCCTTCCCAGTGAGTCCCACCTTCATAATGCGTGAGCAAACATGAGGAAGGGGAGCCAGGCATTAGGGCTGGACATAAACATCTGGATATGCTCCTAAGTGAGCACAGGGCTGGGCTGCCCTTCTCTGTCTCCTTTAAAGTTGGGTTGGCATCTCTCTCTTATGCAATTGCTTGTGAGCCCAGCCTTTAATGGCTGAGCCACCTCCAGCCCAGCGCAGAACTCTGTGACCAACAGTCATCGTATGAAGGGTAACGCTTGCAGTGTTCATACTTTCTTTCTTTGTCCCTGTCAACCTCTGCCCTCTGGTGACCATAATTACCAGAGAACTCCTTCCCTTCACTCCTGAAAGAATGCCCCCTTTTTAGGCAAAGCCGTTGCCTATTCTGTTTGGTTAGAAGAGAACTGAAGCAAAAGGAGAGCCGAGATCCCCGCAAACGGCGCTTGTCTCCTCTTTTCCGTATGGTTAACCAAAGGCTCAATGAACATGTTGGGGAGAAAAAGAAAAGATTAAAAAACATCTAAAACAAAGGTCATTTTCATTACAGGCTTGTAGTCCCTGCTTCAGTTCTGAAGCCGTGCCGGGATACTTGGATGAACACAGAAGTGCCTACCAGCCGTGAGGGAGGGGTTGGACTTGGGGGCAGGGTCTTCGTGCTGCTTGAAGACCCACTAATAGCAAGCATGTTCTGTAGTATCCAGATGGCCAACTTAGATAAGGCCATGCTCACACCTGGGTTTTGACACTGGTGTCGAAGGCCACTTAGCGAAGAGCCAAGATGGGGGTACCGCCAAAGCACACACTGCACCTGTGCCTCGGGAGCTCACGCAAAGCTGACGTGATCAGCACCACGTCTGGGTGTAGTTCTGGAAAACCCACGTAAACTTTCACATTCATTCGCTTACCTCAGATTCACTGGGTTCACAGCATGGTGCAATCCTAGCCTGTAAATGACGGGGTTTTCATTTGTTTTGCTTTGCTTTTTGCTTTATAGCTACGTAAGAACTGCAGACGTGAGCTATTCAGACCCATTTTTGGTGCAATTTAAGTTTAATCTTGAAGTAAACATTGTCCAGGTGGTTACGGTGATGGTGTGGTTCCAGGGCGATCTTTCCTCTAGGAGCCCTCTTGAACCCACTAGGTTCAAAGCGGTTCTGTCCCTTTAAACAGCTACACGGGCAAGTCACAGGCACTTTCTGTACCCACAGGTTACCCAAAGCAGAGAGCTAGCTCACACCCCTCTCACATTCCCACTCGGTGCTTCTGACAGACAGAGCACGCCAGAGAAAGAGAGGACGCTGTGAAAGCCAATAATAATAATAATAATTAAAAAATGAAACAAACGCATCGAGGCTGTTTTGAAAGGCAGGGCCACAAGCTTGCTTTGCCTTTTCTTTGTGGTGACCACCGTGGGAGGGGAAGGCCGCACTCACCATCTCCATTCTTTGTTACCTTGTGAAGAGGAGTAAGAGACGGATGTACCATTTTGAGTTGGAGCACTCTGCGCGCTGAAATCATCAGCCAAAAGAGGGTCAAAGCAGAGTGTTTTATAACACTAAAGACCTTCCCTCTGCTTTCAGCTCCTTTCTCCTTTTGTTTGTTCTGTTGGCCACTGCTAAGTGCTTTGATTAATTTCGCTGCTAATGTAAGAACACTGGCTTATGCTTCCTCATAGAACTCAATTCCGTTTATGCCTAGACATGTTCTGGGAGAACCAGCGAGGCCTCGGCAGATGCTGACCCCACCGCAGACCCTACCAGGACCAGCAAGAAACACACTGCCAACAAGAGCCTTTCCCATGGATGCCCGCAACTGTTGGCCCGTGGTGCCGATGACGGCGGAAAGTGAAATTAATGGCAGGAAAGACTAGGATGCTGGTGGCAGGGGCGGTGAAGGCTGATGAGAACAATGGCGATGATGATGGCGATGATGATGATGACATGAACTGGATTCTTTCACAAGTTCCTAACTGTCTGCAGATTGCATCGTGCACCAGGAGGAGAGTCCAGGCAATTGCGCTTTGTCCTAAGAATAGGTGGGATGGGGCTGGGGAGATGCTCAGTGGTTAAGAGCTCTGGCTGCATTTCCGGAGGACTCAGGTCCGTTCCCAGCACTCACGTGACAGCTCGCAACTGCCTGCAACTCCAGTTTTGGGGGGCTGGACAGCCTCACACAGACATACAAGCAGGCAAAGCGCCAATGCAAACAAAATAAATAAATAAATAAATGATTAAAAAATTAGGTGGTATGAAAGGCAGCGATTGCTCTGGTTTAAAACAAAGTTCTTAGTCTTTTTGTTCTCTGGCTGTGTTGGTTGCTTTTTTACCTTGCTGTGACCAAAATCAGAGAACCCTGTACTTTGGTTCACAATCTCAGAGAGCTCAGACCACAGTCAGCTGATGCCATCGCTCTTGGCCTGAAGCAAAGCCGAATGTCACAGTGGTGGGGCTATGCAGACCAGGAAGCTGCTTACCTCATGGTGGATTGGAAGCCTGGCGATGAGAAGGGGTGGGGACCAGGAGCATCTCCTAAGGTGTGCCTGAGTGACCTACTTCTTCTAACTAGGCCAGCGTTTCCACTGTCTCCAACTTAGTGCCGCTAGCTGGGGGCTAAATGTTTAACAGAAAGCCAGAATATTTAGCTTGAAAATACAATTTTATCCACAGAGCCTACTCCATCCTCCAATGTGCAACTGACCCATTCATTCATTCATTCATTCATTCATTGTTTACAGAAAAGTCCCGTAGCTGGGCAGTGGGTAGCCAGTGCTAGAGTTAACCCTGGCTCAGGCTTCCTGGACTCTGCAACATGGATGCTTAAATAGAATGTCTCCCGGCCTGACCCTACTCTTTTACATGCTTGATGGGGGAAGTCCTGTGTATATGTCAGTAAAGCACTGTTGTCCAATAGGGAACCAAAATAGGTAGGACTAGAAGTCCAAGAGGACTCTGGGAAGGAGAAACACAGAGTCAAGATGTAATGCCATGGGCTAGGAAGCCCTGAAACCTGTCCGGTAAGAGAAATACTTAGATTAACAACTATGGGGTAAATACTTAAGTCAGAGCTAGCCAGTAAGAAACAAGCAAGGCCAACAGCTTCATAATGAATATAGCCTCCTGTGTGTTTATTTGGGACTGATGCGGCTCTAGAACCAGGCTGGCGGGAAGGCTTTCCCTTTACATATGCTCATTGTTATGAGGCGGTGATGGCAGTGGCAGCAGCAGTGGCAGCAGCAGTAGCAGCAGCAAAGTAGGTGTACTTACCAACAAGCTGAAAGGTAAGCAGGCAAAAAGCCACACTGCTTTTTCCCTCGGACCTTTTTACATTTGGCCTGCCTTCAGAAGATACTGATTAGGCTTGGGGGTGTCCTCTCCCTTTAGCTTATCCAAAAACCAACCAACCAAACAAAAAACTCTCACAGATCTACTCAGAGGCATGACTCTTAGTTGATCCCAGAGCCAACAGTCAGGTTGAAAGGAAACTCCAGTTTCCCATACTACAAAAGGCAGTATGCATGTCCAGAAATGACAGTCTTGGGCCAGCTCAAGCTGGACTGTGGAAGGTTTGCTGAAAGCCTACAGCCAACATTTCTCAGAAGCTGTGAAATGGGTCTCTGTGTGCTTTATCTCCCTTCCTCTGGCTTCCTATCAGCTGTAGCTACGGTGCACACCAAAGCCAGCGCTACCCCCCCCGCCCATCTAGTCCCCTTCACGTGTATGCTTTTCAAAGTCCACACTAGCCTCCGGGTCCTTCTCAACTCCCCAACTCCTCTCTGGCTCTTCTGGCTCCCAGGCTGTTGAAGTTCACAGGCTGCCCTCCTCCCAGGCACCCCTTCATTCTGCATACAACAACGAGGTCCCCCAGACACCCCTTCATTCTGCATACAACAACGAGGCCTCCCAGACACCCCTTCATTCTGCATACAACAACGAGGCCTCCCAGACACCCCTTCATTCTGCATACAACAACGAGGTCTCCCAGACACCCCTTCATTCTGCATATAACAACGAGGTCTCCCAGACACCCCTTCATTCTGCATACAACGAGGTCTCCCAGACACCCCTTCATTCTGCATACAACAACGAGGTCTCCCAGACACCCCTTCATTCTGCATACAACAACGAGGCCTCCCAGACACCCCTTCATTCTGCATACAACAATGAGGTCTCCCAGGCACCCCTTCATTCTGCATACAACAACAAGGTCTCCCAGGCACCCCTTCATTCTGCATACAACAACGAGGCTCTCCCCTTGCTCTCCCACTGTTCCTGCTCTCCTTCTTGCTATTCTCTGCCTTCCTCCCCGCCTCCCCCTGCCCTTCTTTCCTGAGAGGTAGGCCTGGATATGCCCATGCCCAAGCCACTTCCTTTCCTCTTGGCTCTGGACTCTTTCAGATGCCTCTGGGTGTCATCTCTATCCTACCACCAATAAAAACAACCCCCTTCACCACGGGGCAGCCATTTTGGTGGTTTCTCTACTGCGTCCTGTCTGACCACAACCGAGAGTGGCCATCACAGCAGCATTTACCTCTTCATAGCAAACGGTCACTCTGTTACTGAGTTTGTGTTTTGGCTGTCCAATGTCTCTGTGTTGGGGATTTCCTCATCATAGGGGGAAATATACCTTTACGCATTGGGGCTTAGGTGAAGGATGGGGCCATGCTACATATACTGACCCGGAAGTATAGGAAGCTTAATTATGCACGTACTCTGGGCATCATCCCTCGTCCCAACATTCTGGATTTGAAGAACACTTTTACAAAACACCCCCACTCCATCTGTGTCCGTGTTTCACAATTCACCCGAGCCGGATTTTCTTGCACTTCACTCATTCATCACGACGTAGTTTTGAAAAAGCTGGCGTGCAAAGGGCTCCTCAGCAGCTTCTGGGGAAACTGCCCCTTCCCTTCATGGGACAAAGGAGGCAGGCAATGTTTACCAAAGGTAAACAAAGCCATTAAAAAAAATCCAGGAGTAGGTCTAAAACCTGAATCACCAAGGGGCAAGGAGGTCTGAACGGTGCAGGCTCTCCCCTCCACCTTGGAATAGGCCGTGGCCCAGAGTCTCCTGCCCAGTCTTCTGGGCAGAAGTGGATTGAAGCTTCTGCCTGGCGCCGCTTCATTGAGCAAGCCTTACTGCACACTCTGAGCCGGGATGTGTTTGCGGCCGCCAATAAACACGCCTAATGACACTCTCAATAAAGCCCGCATTTTAAGCCTTGTTTTCACTCTTCTTTTCATGTTGTTTTCCTCAGCAAAAGGATCAAAGCAAAGAGGCTACTCTCTCTCCCCCCCTCCCCACTCAATCAGGCAGGAGTTCTTTGAAGTAAATGCTATCCCCTCCTCCTTTTCTCCAGTAAGGACAAACCTTCATCACCAGAGGCCAACGGTAGTTCTGCCTGATGCCCATCCCTTAGCAGGTGTGCCTGAGTCTCAGGGAGCAACATCTGCAGTCTTTGTCCTCAGATCTCCATGCCTTGTTTTTTCTCTTGATGAGAGCCGTTGGGTGAATTTTAATGTGCCCAGGATGGTTGAGAACATCTAAAGACAACAACATCCATTCATCAAAAACACAAGAAAACAAAGACACAGAGTTCAGCTGAACAGAAAAATAAATCAGGGAATTTTTTGAAAAGGCGTGTAGTTACAGCTTCAGGCTTTCTTCACTGAAAAAAAAAGTATCAAAATAACTCCAATAATGATCATCTCAGAAGCAAAATAAAGCTGAAAGCTTGTTACTATGGTTCTTGCTTCCACGGGGAATTCAAAGTGTCTTATAAAAATAATAGGATGGCAAAGTTAAAAAAAAAAAGCAGAAGTCGAGTTGAGTGTGGCTTCTGCTGGAGCCTTTCAATGTTACGGATGATATGAAGCCTGTGAGTCTCGAAGAGTGACTATTTCTCCAAGGGGCGATAAATGATAATAATCACACGAATGTATATACTCACTGACCATTGCACTGGGCTTACAGATGCTCTCTCTTACTATATGGTGTCCCTGACAAGTGTTTTCATGGTACTTTTAGCCCCATTTCGCAGAAGAAAAACTGAGGCTCAGATGCCCTAAGTCAGCAGATTGAAAACGGTATAAATCAAGTTCAGATTTGTTTGATGACTAAGTATATGCAGAACTTATCAGAGCCTATTCTTTCTCTGAGATTGTTTGTCACATTGAAAGACCCCAAGCGGGGGACTTTCACGGGAGGGAGACCCGAACCCAAGGAACACCGAGGCCACGAGCTTGGATGCAACAGCAAGAGGCTTTATTGATAATACACGGGTACCCGGGGCATCTCAGTCTCGGGAACTGAGAGCCCCGAGCTGGGGACTCAGGGGTTCTTTTATAGCAAAAAGCGCAGTACAGAAGCGAGAAGCCTAGTTACGGGACCCTGATTGGGTAATTTAAATGAGGCTGGGGCTCAGAACGAGGGCAATTAAGGTTTCTCCCATCTGGACAGAGAGGCAATTAAGGTTTCTCTCAGAACTCAATTCTCGGCCTTGGCCTTATCTGAAGAACAAAAGGTTTCTGTGCCTGCCCAATCTTTCTGGGCTGGCTATGCAGACCATAGACACCTGTGCCCCTATCTGGACAGAGATAGTAGTGACTATTCAGCTGCGAAGACCTTGAGCTGAGCTCCCTCCTGATAAAAAATGGCTGAGCTGTGGGGGAAAGGAGTTTTCCATAAGCCTCAGCTGCCTGCGCTGGGCCGGGGTCTTTCAACATCTGTCCTCACCAAGCACACTGAACCTGTGGTGATACATAATTTATGATTTATTAAAGCTTGCCTGAGGATTCAGAAAGCAAAGTCAGCCACAAGCTATAGAGGTCAGGCAGTGGTGGTACACACCCTAACTCCAGGACTGCAGGGGTCTGGCCTGTATCAGTCCTATGATGTAGGGACC